TGATTTATTAAAATAATTATCGAAATATTTATTTGAATAAATTAGATTCGTGGAGTTTTATTGATTTATTAAAATAATTATCGAAATATTTATTTCTCCAGGTGGGAAAACCTAGTATGTTCAGTGAAATAAGTTCAGTGACGTTTGGTCTCGGTGGAGAAATCCTAGTAGCAGATTTGCGTATTCAAGTATTTTCGGCGAAAGGTGATTTCTCCGAGGAGATTCAAGCCGGGGAGAAAGGTAAATATCGATTACCTCACCATAAATAACTCTATCAAATCTATTGACTCTTATATAAATTCAGGCAAAGGAAAATACGGGGGAATCGTGATAGATCCGGATGGAAAAATTCTGGCGTCTTACAGTGGAAAACGTAACAGTACAATTCAGGTGATTGAGTTTGGAAGTGGTAGAGTACTGACTGAAATTGATTCAAACAGCTCAAAATTACGGAGACCAGCTGGTATATCTGTTCTCAAAGACAACCACTTGGTTGTAATCGATCGGGGTAATGCGTGTGTTAAAAAATACAGGTACTGGTAAACTGCCATTTGTTTTTTTTATCAGAGCAATGAAAACTTACGATTTAATTTCTCTCTCGTCACAAGTCATGTGAATTCTTAGACCACACCGTCCTATTAATAATTAATCGTTGCAGAGTCTCAGTTTATTTTTATGTGAATAAACAAAAATGCTTGTACATATATTATTTTTTACAGTATTAAGGTCACAGCTGAAATGAAAATATCGAGAGATTAAATGAAAACGAGGGATTAATATTGTTCAATTGATTCTGTTTAGATGGAATTGAGGCGTGAACAAAATTCTTTTGCATAATTTTCACAGACTGTAAATTGTGTATGAAATGATAACTAGTCTTAGCCATTTTTTTTTTCTTATTTGAGAGCCAAAAATGTCATTTACACACGTTTTTTTAATTTTTTTTAACACTATCTCCTGAATTTTTACGTATTCTCCTGGAATCACATTATTATTCACGAGATTTGGTAATTTAATTATTCCTTACTCGGCAGAGTATTACTTAAAGGTTTTTTTATAATTTTCATTGTCTCAAGTGGAAAATTAAATCTAGAGTTTTTTCTTTTGTAATTTGATAGAATAGAAATATTTTTGACACTGACAGATTAATCTGAATTATTTTAAATATTTGATAAATTACTGATTTATCGACATTCCCCTTTGTAGTTGAGTGTAATGCATGAATCAGTATCTCGAAATGAAAAAAAAAATTAACGATTGATAAAACAAATTCGATACATCAAATTATCTGACTGATAGGAGAATTAAAATAAATCTTTACTTGTTGGTATTGTTTAATCTAGTCACCGCTGTTTATTCCCACTTAATGGACTGTGTTTATTTGTAATAATACCCGATTTCAATGCTATGTAATATAATAAATAATTGTCACAATTGTAAATAAAAATTGAGCTTCAACTGTAGAAATAACCAGTGGTATTTTTTCAAATCTATCAATCAAATCTATCAATTGAGTTTCAGATAATTCCAGAATTAATTATTTTCACATCAATAGACTTTCCGATTGGATGCACATTGCTCTTCCAGAGGGTCAACTTCCTCCTCTCGTTGTACATCTCCTCAAAATAAATCCTCGTCCCTGGAATTCCTCTCCAGTACCTCCCAAGCATCGGTTTTATCACTCCAGAATTTTCCAGATTACTCAGATCATCTCTCCACTGGGTTATTGAATTAATTGTTATCACTGAGAGGCTGCACTCCTTCGCCAAGTACTTGCAGACACTCGTTAAATGATTCATTGAGTACAACGACTCGTAATTATCAGGTGCCACGTGAACCAGCGAAGCTAGAGAATCTATTATTATCAGTTTAACTCTGTCATCTTTACCTGGAGCTAAACTGTGGAGAATTGAGAATAATTCCGGGAGTTTATGAATTCTTGAGAGTTTTATTTGGTTCATCACTCTAGCGATCTCCTGGAAATTCCATAAATTTTTCTCTTGACGTCTGGATATTTTATTATCTAATCTAATCTAATTAATTAATTATACCTCATTGCTGATTTTTTTCTCGTCCAGAATCATCTGCACTCTCGATGACGAGAAATCTCGTTTAGTGTCGACGTAATGAATCACGAAATCCGAATTTAGTGCCAGATCTGTGGAGATAGACAGGCACATGGAGGTTTTCCCTGTAGATGATGCCCCACAGAATTCGTAGATCTCTCCCGGATGTAGACCGCCATTCAGTAGATCGTCAAAACTGCAGAGATCGGGGTGAAATGAATTTACAAATGGAAATGATAGAATTGAATGGAGAATTTACCTCGGAATTCCTGTGGAAATAATTTCCTCTTCTCTTTTTAATAATTCCAATGTGTTTTCCAGTTTTCCTCCGTGGGCGGCAACAATTTCTTTTCGAATTTCTAGAATACTCTGGTTTTTGGAATGAATTTGGAATTAATTCATTAAATAATTAGGGGATTTAATTGATTGATTAATTATTAACTATTGGGGATTCATTATTTTTGGATTTGATTAATTGATCATTAATTTACTAACCTTGTACGCCATTCCTGTTATTTTCAGTAAATTCTCAGTCGATTCTGCGATGAAATCAATAACAGTCAGGATTTTTCTGTTACTCAATTGTTTAACAATCGCCGGGGTCAATGAAAAAATCGAAAGTGTCTCCAGTCTCGCCATTTCTTCTGAACAATAATAAAAAACAAATCCAATTAACAAATGATCAATTAACAAATCCCCATGAGTCGAATTCTACTTTCAATTTTATCAAGTCAACCGAAAAATTAATTTGTTTAACAATTCAATTTAATTAAATCCTCAAATCGTGCTTATTTCAATTGAAATCAATTGTTGAACAATCCCACGGGTCAATAAATAAATTCCTACGAATCGAATTCCACTTTCAGTTTTAATTCAAAAAAAAAAAATTCAAAATTCCCGCTGTTTATTTAATCCCGTATTCGAATCAAAATCAAAAAATTAATTTCTTTACAAATTTAATTAAATAAAATTACCGAGTACTTGATAATTGCTAAAAATTCCATGAACTGTATTGAAATATCGATAACTACGTAAATCAATAATCGCGCGATTTATCGAAAATAAAAATTGATGAGAATATTAATAGTCCGAAAATGATTACCGGAGTGATCTCTCACATGTGTTTCATAAACCGTACGCGATAGTCGATCGTCTTCACGAAAAATCATTTCATTTTTTCACTGGCAAGTGGCAAGTGACTAGTCCTTGAGGATTGTTCACTTACAATTTAATTAATTCATCTGATTAATCATTCTCAGTCGCGGTCAGCTGATTTTTTTTATCGCGACGAATATGGAAGTGCCTAGAGAATCACCGGTTTGTACTCACGATTTATCTCCAATTTTTGGCGAATCGGTGAGAACGAGAGTCAGACAATTGCGAGAAGGTGTTCGGTAAATTTTATTTTTGAGTTTGTGAGGATTTTTTTGATTTTCAAGGACGAGGAAATTGTGGGGGAGGTGAAATTTTGGAACTGGTGAGTTTTTCCCTCGGCCACAGGAACACATGATGTCCTCGTGGGCGCCATTTTCTCGGGGGGTTTTTAGGCTAATTAGATATTTTATGGAATACGCGGGGTAATTCGGATTTTTGGAATAAATATTGGGAATTTTTGGTGGGGGACGGGGTCAGGAGAAATTTTTTTTTATTTATTACTCTGGAAATTGGGGGATGGGGGATTTTTTGGGGGATTATGATTCCAGAAAGTTCTGGGGTCTCAAGGAATTTTTTTGGGCATGTCGAAAAATTCGGGGTGCGCGGGAAAATTTTGGGGCATGAATGAAATTTGAATTTTTTATTAAGGGAAATGTAATTATTCTAATTGATTCATGAATGAATGAATAGGAATTGAGCTAATGGCTCCAGAAATATAGGAGATGTAGATATTTATGATCTGTGAAATATTCCATTTGATGGTGCGGCGCGAAAAGGGCGCAAGTCCGGAAAATCAAGCGGACAATTTTTCCAATATCTTCGCAAGTCTAGTTTTGAGGGATCGACATTTTTCGCGAGCTTGAAAAATCCCCGGGCAATCCCCCAAAAAATTTTCCAAAAATCCAGACAAAAATTCAGGAACGAATCGATAAATCAATTTTTCCAAAACCTCATTAATCTCGAAAACCATCAATTTCCCAATAAAATCTGAAAAGACCATTTTTACCAGAAATTTAATAATCTCAAAAAAAGCCCCCCACCATTTTCCCCCCAAATCGATAATTCCCTCGATAAATCGGTAATACCGAAAAAAAACTCCTGAATTCTGGAATTCCTCTATCCAAAAATTTCCCATTCAATTTATTTTCCATTTCCCAAAGAAGAGAATGAAAAAAAAAATTTCCTCGTGTCCCAAAGAATCGAAAAGTTGCTGATTTGATATTTTGAAAACGGAAACGATATCCCGCACGAAATCCCTTTCCGGTGGGTCACACGGGCCAATGGGACCAGCCGTAGAGAATGAACGCATGCGCACAGTAGCAAATCCCGGATGGCATTGCGCAGTCTGGCGGTGGCTTTGAAAGTCACTATAATCCCTGGTGGCAGAGGCGGTGCACCCAACACAGGAATGAATTTTGTCGTGAGCCGTCGCCATGTTTAGAAGTCGTGTGCTCGCGCGTCCTTGAGGGGCTAGACCCAAAAAATTCTACATCCTCAAAACCCGGGTTTCAAACAAATTCATTAAAATACAATATATATCACATGTACTTTACACAACGTGAAGTACCTAATTGCGTATTAATCATTGACTATTGCGTATTTGTGATCAAATAATGTGGATGGCACATCTACGTTTCACAATTTTGTGATTACATTATGGTAAGTCATAGCTATCGCACGATCCGTTCTGAAAACGCCAATATGGCCGACTGAAAATTTCCTTTGTATCGGTTTGCAATGGGAAAAGGCGAGGCTCTCGGTATTATCATTTTATTTATATCTCCAATTGTTTATAATAACAAAAAAATTATCGAAATAAACTCCAGCCTTTTCAACGGTTTCAATTGTTTTCAAATAAAATTCGTATCAATCGACTTTTTTTTCCATTTTTTTTTGGAAAACAGATAGGTTTAAACATTATCGGTGGGAAATTAATGAGATTGAGAAATTGTTAGTAATTGTTGGATTTGCGGTGTGACAATGCTATTACGTTACGTGGGGAATTGACTATTTTAGGGAGAACGAGTTTTCGGTTTTTTATATTATTTTTATGGATTATTTGGAGCTCCGGGAATGGTGACGCCAATGTCCCGGGGATTTTGATTTCGGCGGTTTTTCTTGGGTTTTTAAAATTTTCATTTTCTTCTTTTGTGTGGTTTTTTTTTTATTGTTTAATTATCTGGGGGAATTCTTGGTGATTTTTCGGTGGGTTCTGGATTTTTGTCGTCGACGGTGAAACGCAGGAATTATTTTAGTGATCCGGCATTTTTGTTTGATGACGAACCATTTGTTGACATTTCTGTGCCCGTAGGTCTGAGCAATTGACTTCACATTTTTTGCAATCTATTTATTTAACTGATTCGTCTTAAGTTTTTTCGTAATTTTTCAATGGAATTTCAAAACAAAAAAAAACAATTCAATCTCTATTGTGATCCATTTATTTATTTACAAAATACGTTTGATGATCGTTTGATGATTTTACATAAATAAATTACAGTTAATTATTTCAAATGTTTATAAAACTTTTCTCCGTACTTTTATTCAGAATTCGAGTAAAAATTTCGAATTCTGGGACTTAGGATGGGATTTGAATTTCAGTGTCATGTGTGATGAGTGATAAACAGGGCGTACCTTCACTGCCGCCCCTACCTGGGGGTGGAGGTAACAATGGTAGCAACAATAATGGAGGCCAACAATCAGTCAGTCTTCAGCAAGTGCTGGCGACTCAGGGACTCAACGTCATCACCACCGGAGCTGGACAACAATTTGTCCTCACGTCACAGGTCCCCGGGTTCTCTCAGGTAAAATTCATGCCCAAAAAAACCAAAAATCCCAACCTAACACTCCCCGACATGATCCCCAGGTCCTGCCATCATCGACATCATCCCCAGGTCTCCAGCAGATGGGAGTCACCAGAATCGTCAACATAAGTGGTACATCACCACGTGTAAGTGTCGTGGGAATGGCAAGTGGCAGTGGTACCCCATTGACGTCCCCAAGTCGTCAGAACTCCACGAAAGTCGTCCTGGCGACGTCACCAAAGCTCGTGAGAACTTCCCTGAGGAATATGTTCCTGACGCCAACGTCGGCATCACCACCAGTGAAAAAACTCAAACTCTCCGATTCCACTGAGAAATCCACACACCACGATGACTCATCTGGATACAGACGACGAATTATGGAGCATAAAATGCGGAGAATGAGAGCGATACGTGAAAAATACGCGGAGAATACGTCAGAGCTGTTTTTTCTCAATGCTGGTGGCAACATGATGGACTTCCAGACGTGGAAAAAACGATCTAATACACCGCCTTATCTCCACTTCCTGCGACAACACAGGCTAGACCCTGAGGACGACGACGAGGATCTCACCCAGCCCCTGCCCTCAGATGCCCTTGGGCCCAGTGTCCAAGGGCCCGAGGTAAAAATCACTGGCACTGGCGCCACTCCTGTCGCCGTCTCCACCACTCTACCTGCTGCTGTTGCTCAACTTAGTCAAGGTAATTAAAAATAAAAATAAAATCCCTTGGAGAATTTTCCAGAGGTTTGGAATTTTTAAATGAATTTATTATTTTAAACTCCACTGTTGCTCATTGAAAAATCAAAACTCCTCCAAAAAGGAGACAATCGTTGGTGTGTATGATTATTTTCAAAGGTTCACTCCATTAAATTCAATTGTCTGTCCATTAATTAATTATCTGTACTGAGTGTATTGTGGAGACAGTAGATGATTTATGTGGCAAATCCCGAGAAATAAAGTTTCAATAAATTTGGACAGTAGGACAGATACCAGGTAGACCACAAGGTGGTCGTCATGGAATGGTGTTTGCTATACGGACGGCTATACAATCACCAACAGTCACCGTTCACCCTTCACCCAATTCTACCATAACACCTACGATAATTATAGGTGACTACTTAGGCCTGTTGTCGATGTTTAACATATTTTCGTTTGAATTTAAAATTATTGAGTGTCTGAATTCATCAGCGAAGGTCAATGGGATGATAATTTATAAAAATAACACTTCGCTGATGAATTATTTACCTATCGTCCAGCGTTGTCTTAGAAAATAATATTAATTTCGTCGTTGATTAAATGTTATTTTCCTTAGGGCATGAGCAGCTGTTGTTAGTATAGAATAATAAATGTTTTATTGTCAATTGTGGAGAGTGCAGAGACCCACGAGATATGCATCCGCTGATTTAATTCATTGATTATTGATCAGTCTTTTATTTTGTGGGAATATTGATTATCGAGCATGTGTAAGACCTCGAGGTGATCAGTGTCACGTGGTCTAAGGGTTAATCTCGAGACAATTTTTCATTATAATTAACGCTTTTCATGGAATTGAGAACTCAAAAAAAAAATTAATCGATTAAAATTGTCTTTCAGGTGGAACACCAATCGTTCCCACTCCCCTAAAATCATCACCACCAGTATCCTCATCACCAGTGACAGATAAAGTCTCGATAACACCTCAAAAATCACCCCTCAATCCATCAGCAACACCTTCCTCATCTCAGCCAGTGGTGAAACTAGTTAAATTGCCATCATCAACGCAATCCACGTGCGACAGTCAGAGTAATCAAGAGCAAATTGTTGAAAAAGCTAAACAAGAGGCCTACGTGATGCAGAGGATAACTGAACTCCAGAGGGAGGGACTCTGGAGTGAGAGAAGATTGCCAAAGGTTCAGGAGCCAGCGAGAACTAAGGCCCACTGGGATTATCTACTCGAGGAGATGGTGTGGCTTGCTGCTGATTTTGCCCAGGAGAGGAAGTGGAAGAAGGCAGCTGCCAAGAAGTGCGCGAGAATGGTTCAGAAGCATTTTCAGGAGAAGGCCATTCAGGCGCAGAAGGCTGAGAAACTTCAGGAGTTGAGGCTTAAGAAAATTGCCGGTTTCGTCGCCAAGGAGATTAAAACATTCTGGGCTAATGTAGAGAAGGTATTTGTCAATTTATTTTTTTTAATCACCCCACATAATTAAGCCGGCAATTTCAGTATTTACATTACCGAAACTGTGTGCTCATTGTGGGAACATTAATTAGCTCTGAATAATGACAAGAGGCTGAAGGTTTATCGATGATCAGTCGACTCGCTTCTTCAGGGACATTTATCCTTTTTAAATTATTAATTCTGAAGTGGTAAAATATTTTTATGGATTTAGGGCTGTAATGAGGAATTATTTTCTGTTTCAAGCTGGTGGAGTTCAAAGCCCAGACTAGACTAGAAGAGAAACGTAAAAAAGCACTTGACCAACACCTTAATTTCATCGTTGGACAAACCGAGAAGTATTCAAATTGGCTGACAGAGGGTTTAAACAAGACTGATGGTGCACAGAGTGTTCCTGCATCGATAAATAGCTCGAGAATATCATCACCAGTGACGCGTGATAAACACTCGGACGATGAGTTCGAGCCAAATCAGAGCTCTGAGGACGACGAGGAGACAATAGCTAAAGCCGAGGAGGAGATGAAGTCAAATCACAAGGAGGAGGTTGAATTACTGAAGAAGGAATCTGAATTGCCACTTGAGGATCTTCTCAAGGAGCTACCACCCAATTACCTTGAGGAGAGGGATAAGAGTCTGTCACCAGATCTGAGGGTTCACGAGGAGGGGAATCCGGATGGAGAATTTCAAGCTGACAGCAATGAGTCCAGTGATGACGAGGATACCATCATGGAGCAGGAGAAGAGGGAGGGGAATCTCGATCACAGGAAGGAGCTCGATGACTTGAAGGCTGAGAATGAAATGTCCGTCGAGGAACTTGTTGCTAAATATGGAAGTGCTGGTGCCACTCCTATGGAAGAGGATACTGATGACGAGGGTATTTATTTATTTTTTCTACTTTTATTTCAATTTTATGAGTATGACTTCAGTTTTATTTTTATCCACTTGAAAATTACACAGGTATTCTTCAGGCATTTGCTTTTTTTTTAATTACCGGATAATTGGAGAGCAATTAATTAATTATCTTCAATTATTTTCAATTGATAATCAGTGATGACGATATACCGTTTCTGAAGGAACGAGATCCATTCAACTCGAACCTAGCTCGTGCTGTTATCGAGGCATTTGTCTGAGATTTTAACAATAAATTATATTAACGATTTGTTAGAACGACTTTAGGGATTTTTTTTTTTAATATTGAGGATGAAAATGGTTTTTGGTTTCAGAATCTGGGAAGGAATCTGATAAAGATGATGATGATGAGGCGGAGGAAAAGTCTGACAGTGAGAGTGACAGTGGAGATGAGACCAAGGACAATGACTCACAAGTTCAGAGTGATGATGAGACTGGAGTGGGACTCAAGTCACTGCTTGAGGACTTCTCCGGTGATAAATCAACGAAGAATAATGTGGATGTCTCACAGTCTGAGACTCATAACGAAATGGATGATGTAGCTGCACTGGCTGAGAGCATTCAGCCCAAGGGAAATACTCTCCTCACTACCAGTGTAAGTTCAATTATTTAATTGCTCTCATAAATATTCAATGATCCTCTCTTCCAAAGTGATTTGCTTCGTAGCAATTTCATCATTTCACGGGAGGTAGAGAAATACCGACAGCTTTCCCATGCAATAATTTATTTTTAATTGATTGCGCAAAAGTGTCGAACATTTTTTTAATTATAAAATTATCTGAAGGAGATTTTTTATTTCTGGATAAATATTTGGATAATTAATTGATTGTGGATTTTTTTTGCAGGTTGTGACGAAAATTCCATTCCTCCTGAAGCATTCGCTTCGTGAGTATCAGCACATCGGTCTGGACTGGTTGGTGACGATGTACGAGCGTAAATTGAATGGAATACTCGCTGACGAGATGGGCCTGGGTAAAACAATTCAGACGATTGCCCTTCTGGCCCATTTGGCATGCGAGAAGGGCAACTGGGGGCCTCACCTCATCATCGTTCCCACGTCCGTCATGCTGAATTGGGAGATGGAGTGCAAGAAGTGGTGTCCGGGTTTCAAAATTCTTACGTATTATGGCACACAGAAGGAGAGAAAAGCCAAGAGAACTGGCTGGACAAAGCCAAATGCCTTTCACATCTGCATTACTTCCTATAAACTCGTTATTCAGGATCACCAGAGCTTCAGGAGAAAAAAGTGGAAGTATTTGATTCTCGATGAGGCGCAGAATATCAAGAATTTTAAATCACAGAGGTGGCAGTTACTTCTGAATTTCCAGACTCAGAGGTAAATAAATTATTCAATAAATTGAGCTTCTGGGTAATTATTTTGAGGGGAAAATCAGTGATGATGATTTACCGTTTCTGAAGGAACGAGATCCATTCAACTCGAACCTATTTTCTGCTGTTATCGAGGCATTTGTCTGAGATTTTTTCCCGAAAAATAGTTTATTCCAGAGAATAAAATTGTGCGAATTGTTTATAAATGAATGAATTTTTTTAGGCGGCTGTTACTGACTGGTACTCCACTTCAGAATAATCTCATGGAGCTCTGGTCACTCATGCACTTTCTCATGCCAAATGTATTTCAATCCCATCGAGAATTCAAAGAGTGGTTCAGCAATCCTGTGACTGGAATGATCGAGGGTAACAGCGAGTACAACGAAAAAATCATTCGACGTCTCCACAAGGTTTGTATTAATTTTTTTATAACAAACAACGACTCGCTGCCGACCACGATGATGGATTATCAATGCTCTCAATCGTGTTGAATTTTTTAACAGCGAGATATCAAATTGTCTCCATTAAAACTCGTGTGTTGTATTAAGTGGAATAATCTGCGGCATGCGAATCCTGTCTGGAGGTACAAAATTTTCCTTTAAAAAAAAGAAATAGATTCATCAATGACTCAGTCATCAATTTAATTCAGCAATGAAAAATCATTCACGATAATATTTTTTAATGTGTTAAAGGTACTCCGACCATTTCTCCTCCGTCGATTAAAATCCGAAGTAGAGAAACAGCTGCCGAAGAAGTACGAGCACGTGATGATGTGCAGATTATCAAAACGCCAGAGATTTCTCTACGACGATTTCATGTCTCGAGCAAAAACGAAAGAGACCCTAGCCAGTGGTAATCTCCTGAGTGTAATAAACGTTTTGATGCAACTCCGAAAGGTCTGCAATCATCCAAATTTATTCGAGGTTCGACCGACAGTATCTCCTTTTCAAATGGAGGGAATTGAATATGTCACGTCATCACTTGCCTGGCAGGCACTTGATTACGATCCATTCAGGCACATCGATCTCAGCTGTTTGAATCTTCGTCTTGTCGATCTCGAGGTGACACTCACAGCATTTGTCGCACACAGGGTGAGAAAACTCCACACACCGCGTAAATTGATCGAGGAAATAGATAATCAGCCACCACCACCAATCAGATGTCCCTCCGGAAGAATAAAAATCAACGTGAGACTGTCTAATCAGGCCAAAGCACCACCCATCACTCCACACAATTCTCAGACTAAATTGAGAAATTTTACTGGCATCCTCCCAAATCCCAAAGTTGGAACTTCACCATTAGTCAAAGGAGGGAATAATCAGGCTAGTCCTGGACAGGGTGTCACCCTCAAGGTCGCCAGTGGACAGCAACTGCAGGGATACTCTGTTCAACTCGTTCAGCATCAGGGAACAGTCAAAGGTAATTACATTATTCTCCATAAAATAATTATTCAATTATTCCCACACACTTCCACGAGGCATCATCGATCGGTGTTTATACTAATCCCTGTATAATCAGCCTTTGCAGTGGTGCCAGATTAAAATCCCTCGTACCAGCTTGCACATGAGTCCTGATGGAATGTGCATTCCAGAATCGAGAGAATATTTATTAAAAATTCTTAATTCCTTTCGATTTAAATTCTAATATCAATGTGAATTCCTTCAATTGAATCCCTGACCTCTTTTTCCAGCAATTCCAGTGGGAATTCCTCACCCACCAGCATCATCAGCCCCATCAACACCCCAAAGAATCACAATGAGCAGTCCAAATCTTCGAGATGGTCTTCCCCGTTTAGCAACTCAAACCGTCACAGTTAAACAGGGTGACTCCCTCCAGAGGATAGCAGTACCAAGTTTTGCCCAGCTTGTCCAAACGTCAACGGGTCGCCACTTGATAATCACCTCGAACACCCAGAACACAACGACAATGTCATTTCCAATGGTGACATCGAGTGGTCAACGATTGACAGTTTTATCCCCAAAATTGACAAATCTATCTCAAGTTGTGACATCGGTTGGTGGTCGTCCAGTGATGAGAGTTCCACCCCTCAATGTGACACCACCCCAGATGCCAATAAGAGGTATAATGACACGACCAAAGGACACAACAAAGAGGCCAAAGGATCCACCAAAGTCAGAATTTCATCTCCAGGAATTGGACGCAGAGCGAAGCCACAGGCGCATCACAAAACTCCAGACACTGTCATCGATAAATGAGAGACGTTGTGCAGCGTGTCCCCTCTACGGTGAAGATCTCTTCACAGCCCTGAGGATTGACAAACCATCGGCGAAATGTCGGTGGCACAATGGCTGGCTCCAGTGCACCACGAAGAAGCTACCACGACGGAGAAGGGATTATTTTACAACGACAGAGGCCCTCGCTGAGGCAATCAAATCAACAGAGCAGATTGTCGAGGAGTTGAAAGAGGTATTCGAGAGATTTGTGGTGTACGTACCAGCGGTTAATGCACCACTCCCAAGGTTTCACGTGTCTCATCCACCGCCTCACAAACTCTGGGCCCAGAAGAGGCTCCAGAATGTCCTCGATCGAGGTCTCAGTAATAAAGTAAAAATTCTCCATCCAATTGCCAGAGCGATGAGCACACAATTCCCTGATCCCAGACTCATACAGTACGACTGTGGAAAACTTCAGCGTCTCGACAGACTTCTCCGACAGCTCAAGACTGGAGGACATCGTGTTCTCATATTTACCCAGATGACCAGAATGCTTGATGTCCTTGAGGCCTTTCTCAATTATCATGGGCACATATATCTGCGACTCGATGGTGCCACCAGGGTGGATCAGAGGCAGATACTCATGGAGAGATTCAACAATGACAAGAGAATCTTCTGTTTTATCCTGTCGACGAGGTCTGGTGGCGTTGGTGTCAATCTCACTGGTGCTGATACTGTTATATTTTATGATAGCGATTGGAATCCAACGATGGATGCCCAGGCCCAGGACAGGTGTCACAGAATTGGACAGACGAGGGACGTTCACATTTACAGGCTCGTCAGCGAGAAAACTGTCGAGGAGAATATCCTGAAGAAGGCTAATCAGAAGAGGCTCCTCGGTGATTTGGCTATCGAGGGTGGAAATTTCACAACAGCCTACTTCAAGAGCTCAACGATTCAGGATTTGTTTGAGGTTGATACCGAGGGTGATGCTAGTGTCAGGATGGCTGAGGTACTTGAACAGCATAGGGAGAGGAGTAGGGAGGGTCTAGGTGAGGAGAAGGGGGCAATTGGGGCTCTTGAAAGTGCACTCGCTGCTGCTGAGGAGGATCTCGATGTACAGGCTGCTAAAACAGCTAAAGCTGAGGCTGTCGCTGATCTAGCTGAATTCGATGAGAATATACCTCTTGAAGAAGGCGACAGGGAGGAGCCGCAGATCAGTAAAGCTGAGATGGAGGTGCAAAATCTCGTATCACAGGTGAGAATTTCAATTTTTCATTCATTTAATTCATGGTAATTCGTCATAAAATTAAATAATCAATGAATGACACTCATAAATTTAATCTAGAAACCCAAATTTATCCTTAAATCCATGGATTTGATTTTCAGTTGACCCCAGTGGAGCGTTATGCAATGCGTTTTGTGGAGTTATCAGAGGGTGCATTCTCCGCTGCTCAATTGGCAGCAGCTGAGCGTGAGCTTGAGCAGCAAAAACGGGAATGGGAGCTAGATCGTCTGCGTGCCCTTCGCGAGGAGGAGGAGCGACGAATGCGACTCGCTGACGACGACGAGAAGCCCATCACCTTCAGCCGTGAGGACTCACAAAATCAGGTCAATACACCAAACAATTCAAAACGTCTATCAAATAAGAGAGCGATTATACCCCTGCGTCGTAGTCTGCGTAATCGTGATAGCACTAGTTCCACATCCTCAGCCTCGTCCCCAGAGTCCTCTAGCTCCTCCGATGACTCAGACACATCTCCGGAATCCCCACAGCCAATCCTCACAGAGCGCAATAAAAAACGATCGTCAGGTCGTCCCAGGGTATCAATATCACACAAAAATCGTCTAGATCTTAATTCACCGCGCACCAGATCACGCGGTGATGTCAAAATAAATCTCTGGACTCTCGATGTTTCCCCGATTTTGCCGCCCTCGAAGCGTCCCCGTTTAAAAATACAAAAACGAAAGATTGAGGAGAATGACAGCGATGATTTTAATGATTTATCGGAGAAAACAGATGATCCGGGAAATTCTCTTGATAATTCCGAGTGTTTGATGACTGAGAGTGATAATGATATCGATGATAAGAGCTATAATGACAGATTAATGATTAAATCGTTTAAATCGGTTAAGAAAAAATCAGAAACGGATTCGATTAAAGAAAAACCTGAGGATTCGGATGTGAATCCCCAGGAATCCCTTATAAATGCCACGGAGATGATGACGTCGGGCAATGAAGAGGATAAGTCATCACCGAGTTCTCAGGTCGAGGAGGAGAGCCCCCAGGTAGAGGAGAATCACAAGTCTGATAATTTCAGGCGTTCATCGAGATTCAAACGTCAGATTCATGGAAAGAAAATAAATTCTATCGATGATGATAACTCGGTGATGTCCTCTGTGTCACCAGCACCTATTACCAGGTCGATGAGGTCTCAGATGGCTAAACCTCAGGGGCAAATAGTGGATTTGACGAGGGAGGATACTGAAAATCTCGACGTCAATGTCCCAACGTCTCCGACGTGTCTCAATGATGCAAATGTCGATGGTGAGATGGTCAAGGGGCGTGGGGACGTCGACGTCGAGGGGAATGACGAGGGTAAGACCTCTGACGTTGAGGAAATGGATGTGAGTAAAGAGAAGAATGTCATTGAAGATAGTAAAGAAGTAAAAGAGACGAAAGAAATTAATTCCCAGGAGATCAGTGAAATAAAAGACTCTGATGTTGAGAATTCAGAGAGATCCGAGTCCTCATCATCATCAGAGGTGAAGGCCAGGCCCTCGGGGGTCCTCACTCGTCGCTCTCGCCTCTCTGAGCCCTCCACCCTTGAGGACAAAAAATACAGAAAGGGTGGAAAAATATCAGGTGCACCTGAGGTTCTGGAGATATCTGAATCGGATATTAATATTATAAAGACAATTGTGGGGACTTCGTCGAGGATTACGAGGTCCTCGGCGAATGCTCGAGTCCTGGATAATGGATTTCTTACACCTCCGACGAAGAGGGGGGGTGTCAAGGTCGGGGAGGGAAAGAAGAGCGATAATTCAACGTTTTTGGCTCACAGGAAGCGTCCTGATACTCCAATGCCGGAGGACAAGGGGAGGAGTAGGGCGGGGGATGGGATTGAGTTTAGGCAGAGGGTGAGGCCTCCTAGGAGGTCTGGGGAAATCAGGGAGGGGGAGGATGGTGAGGTTAATGGGGAAGAGGTTAATGAGAGGCCTCAGAGGACTGCCAAAGTCGTGGCGATATTGAGTTTGGATACTCACTCTAGGTTTGGGTACTCCAAGAGGCGGCAGGAGGACAGGAGGAAGGATGGGGATGGGTTTGAGCTCGGGCAGGGGTTGATGGATGATGAGGATGAGGGGGACGGCGCTGAGGAGACCGAGAGGAGGGGTAGGAAGGGCTTGAGGAGGAGGGATAGGGAGTTGATTAGGTATCCGGGGATTAAGAGCAGTGAGGTACAGCTGGTGGATATCATGGATGATGAGGATCTTGGACTCGCGGGTAAAAGGACACGTGGACCACCCTAGACTGGAATTTTTTTTAAGATTTTCGGGGATTCCTGGGTGTAACTCGGTGGGTACTCATTTCTGCGGAAAGTCGTCGGGGACTTTTTTGGAGGTCGTTGTTTTTCCCAGGGAAAAGCTCTTTTCACATTTTTTCGTAAAGTCGATTCGGTTTGAGAGAAATCGAGATTTAGGACACGAGTTGAGTTTGACGGGTTTTTCTTTTTTGAAATGGGATTTCAATTTTTCTCAGAAATTAACGGATTTAGGGAAAAATGTGAGGGGACATTTTTTCGAGGAAATTTCAGGAGCTGGAAAAATGTCCTCTTGTGTTTCTACCGTCGATGAATAGTTCTCGAGATATCGATACTGATAGCTCAGAAAATTCAGAATTGTAGAAATTGGTCTATTTTTCGCTGAATTTAATTATTCTCTCCCTCTCCGTTAAAATCGTGAGTCCAATGAAAAAGAGAAACCGGTGTATAAAAATATGTAAATAATTCCCCAGATCCCAGTCCCCAAAATTCACATCTAATTACCATCGTCACTGTAAATAATTACCCACCCCCTTTCCCCCCATAATTACCTCGAGAAGCTTTCATAGACATAACAAAATCGTACTATTTTTCATTACATCCTCTCAATTATTTAAGTTCTCAATTAAATAGCGGATAGGAATGCTAGACCGTAAGAAATTTTTTGTATAACGATGAGGAACAAAAAAAAAACGATTGAATGAGTGACAGATTAATGCGATAATTTATAATTCGTGATATAAGAGATTTATGACTGTATTATAAATAGACTTAGATTTTTAATGAGAAAGAAAACGTGTGACAGTGATAACCCCGGTTAATTACGCAAAAAGGCCATTGTTATATTATTTTTTTTTTTTTTCAATAATTTGTTTCGATGATTTTCAAGAGAATGATAATTGTTCTCTGAAATTTTTACTTTCCTCGTTGGGAGGCAGACGAAATTACAACCGGTAATTGTCGTTTATTGGGTAGTAATTAATATTTGAGCCGATGTGTGTAATTAGTTATCATTTATTATTGTAAAATGCGGATGTTTGATCGTTAATTTGTGTGAATTCTTTATTTTTTATTCGAAAATTAAACTGATGAAAATTTAAACGATAGATATCACGCTATTGCTGCGTTATTTGCCAGACGATTGGAGAAATATTGCTAAATAAACAAATGATTATAATATTTTTTCATGTGTGTTCTCTTATTTCTTGGTGCGTTTCCAAGTGGTTCAAAGGTTCACTTCCGTTTTGGTGTCAATAAGTCATTTTAAAGTGATATTTTCAATGAAAACAAAATTTCTTGATGAATTTTGAATCAGTGTGCTTGTTTATGTTTTGGAGGTCTTTGGATAATTAATTAAATCAATTTTAGATTTAGAATAGATTTTTTTTTTTTGTCGTTTGGTGTGGCAAGGGCCTGACCGACCAAATTATTTCAATTAGGATATTATTTTATTTACCAATTCGTCGAGATTTTTTTATTATTTTTGATTATTGTTACATGGCACCAAAACAATTGCCTTTGCCATTCCAAACTTGGAGACTCCCGGGATATAATCAGGCACATGTTGAGAAATATTTTCAGTGGAGAGAGCGAAGTCACCAGAATTTCTGTGAAAATGAGCCTTTGAATACACATTTTAGTCTAAAAATTTCCCAAATAATCAAATTGTCTTTCAGAAATTCAAAATTAGTCCGAAGACTTTGGACTCTCAGTCTTCCCTAATTTTGATTTCTCGAGAGTTTTCCATTAAAAATTAGTAAATCCTGGAGTTATTCCTGTACTCGAATTTTTATATCATTTTATTCTATTGCTGAAGGGAACAGTATTTTTGCTGATTATTTTGTAGTTGAAAGGCAGCAGATGGTGCGTTCATAGGTAAGTCAGAAAACCTGGTAACTCCGCTGTAATCCACGAGAATTTTTAATGAGATAATCGGGTGGTGAAAGGAGCAATTCTAATGAGAGATTTTTTTTTTATTTTCCAAATATTGCAGGTGTGGCTGTCAGACAACACCATGGAGCAAATGCCTGTGAGTATTTTTAATAAAAAATAATACCATCCCCCCATTTCTCCTTTAAAAAATATCCTCTCCTAATTGTCAATCTCCACTCCACAAATTAATTACTTAATTCATAAATAATTAATTCTGAAGAAAGCAATGAATTGAAATTTATGATTTGATTCTCGATTTTTAATTATTTAGAAATGAAGAACGATAAAGATAAAAATAATGAAAAAATGATGAATTATTCATGATAAAGATTATTCATTATAAAATAATTATTTATTTTTCCCTCAGATGTGGTGTCCCCCAACGCCTCCGACGTCTGACAACGACGTGTACATAGACTACTCCCTGGGGTTCCTCTACGACAGTACACCAATCCCAGAGTCCCAACTGCCCCCAGTGTACACTAAGAAGGACCCAAAGAGGCCCCGAGTGGAGTTACCCTCAGATCGTGACACCCGTGACGGTCGCAGGCCCTCAAAAATCCGTCACAAAGAGGACTCGGTGTACGCCCCCAGGTCCCTCTTCGATCGTCCATCACCAGCTCTAATAAAAATGCGTCGCGACATGAAACTCCACAAATACCGAACCATCTCAAGGCCCCTCCAGCTTCCTGGTGCCCGACCCATCGCACGTCCGACCACTGAAACCGATCACATCCTCGAGTGGATGGTCCACGAGGACTGGGCACTACTCCAGGCTATCCAGGTCTACCAGGGACTCCCCCTCAATCTCGTTATCCTCTCACCTGGACACACACCTAATTGGGATCTTGTTGCTGATATCGTGAATAATACATCGAGGATATACAGATCACCCAAGCAGTGTCGCACCAGGTATGAAACGGTTATCGTACCTCGGGAGGAAGGGAAATTACTCTACGACAACACCCCCAAGAAGCAGAAAAAGCAGAAGGGAGTCTATAAAATTCCTCCAATAACTGAGGTAAGTTCATTTCTCTATTAAAATAAACATTTTAAAAAATTGATAATTCCATAAATTCCAGAGAAATATTGAAAGTAGAAATGAGATCAAAACAGATTTATCAATTAATTGAGGATAGAAAAAAAAATGGATTAATGAACATTTTTAATTTTTAAAAAGTAATTAACACTCAAAAAATCCATAAATAATTTGAATTTAATTTAATTCTCACATTCTATTTACGTTTACCTATTGTTTATTTGTCTTTTTCTCAAAATAAATTAGCAACAAGTTAAAGCGAACAGACCGATGCGTACATGTCAACTTTACAATCAGGACAAGAACAACTCGTTCACGATGATGTGCTGCCAGCGTTTCGACACGATCAAGACAATTGGCAACAAACGTACAACAGTGACAAAACCAACGATAGCCAATCCGATGCTGAGGAATCCGAAGCATACAGCTGTCCTGGCTGAGAATGGAGTTGCCTATGACAATCCTCTAGCACCGATTGATGTAGCTACGAGAAGAGCAGAGAGAATCGCCAAAGAGAAGCAAAAAACCACTGCCAACGTGAGTGTTAAATTCCATTAATTGAATTGCACCAATAATAAACAGTACAAATAAGTGCAATAATCCCTGAATATTATAGGTATTGACTCCTGAACAGCAGCAGCAAGCAGCGGCACGACTGGCCCAGGCCCACGCACAGGCCCAACAACAGCAGCAGCAGCAACATCAGTCACCCCAGCAGCCACCCCCAGCCCAATCCTCTCCACTTCCACCTGCTACTCCCACTCAAAATCCCCAGCCACAGCCCCAACCCCTCACTACCACTCCTCAACTAGCACAACTCCCTCCAACACCTCCAGCGACATCAATTCCACATCAGAAAACCCTACCTGTCAATCCCACGACAAACAACACAATTGTCACGACAGCTGTCAAGGCACGTCCTGGTGTTCTCACTCTGTCTGACCAACGACAGACACCGACAGTCGTGAGTGTTGCAAATTTGCAGCCAGGTCAGCGTCTTGCCACTGCCAATATCGTGACGAGTGGTCAAAATCCAGGTGTCACCCAGAAAGGAATAATTAATGTACCAATGGCTGGTGGCTCCACCAAGACCTTAACACCAGCCCAGGTGCACGTGTACAGACAGCAAATGTTGATACGTCAGCAGCAGCAGCTAAAGGCACTGCAGGCTCAGGCCTCAGGTCAGAAGGTGTCAGTAGCAGTGACAGGTGTTCAGCAGCGTGCAACCCTGATGAAACAACCAGGTGTTGGTGTTGGTAAGCCAGTAACGAGAACCGTAACTGAAGCTGAAATGGCAACACTTTTGAAACAGCAGGCAGTGATGCAGCGTCAACAGCAGAAGACAGTGACTCAGGTGCAGGTGCCTGGTCAGGTGACAACACTTACACCAGCACAGCTATTTGCTCAGGCAGGCCTCCAGCAGGCTGGACCATCCACAGGTACACCAGTGGCAACACTCGTTAAAACAGCTAATGTTACTGGAGTTAGAACAGCTACACCCCAGCAAATTCGTCAGCTCCAGCTACATCCACAGATTTTAACCCAGCGAAAATTGCCAGGACAAAAAGTCGCGCAGTTGGCACAGGTAGCTGGTAAGGCTGGTGTACAGACACAATTGATTGTCCAGCAGAAATCATTACCAGCTACCATGACTGTCCAGCAAATTCAACAGGTGATCAATCGTGGTGTACCACCACAGGGACTCCAGGGTTTCACTCATGTCTCCAGTGGTCAGGGGGTCAGTCAACCCGGACAGATGGTACTCGCCAAATCTCCCATCCAGGGAAGGGTAATTCCTGTAAGTGTTGCCGGGGGTATCAAGCAGGCTATTCAGGTTGTCGCTGCCAGCAATCCCCAGTTGAGACAGGCAAGTCCAGCGTCGGGTAAACCCATTGTCACAACTGCTAGAGTCAGTCCTGGACCTAGCCAACAAGTCAGACTGCAGAATCTTCATCAGGGAATGCATCAGCAGGCACAGGCCCAGGTACAGGCCCAGGCACAGGCACAGGCACAGGCACAGGCCCAAAATCAGGATAATCTCCAGAAATAATTGCTCTGAGGGTCTTCATCTCGATGATCTCCTCGTGGGAGATCGACACATTCCAGAGGGACTCCTCCTGGGGATGTCTGTTCATGTTCATAGGTTTCGTTATTTCACGATCCTTCAATGTATTATATTCGTGTATCATAGATTAAATAAATAGATAATTGCTGATAATCTGGAGTGATTTTTTAAATTCAATTTTTATCTCCAATTTTTTTACAAAAAAAATTAAAAAATCAAATACAAAAACCTAGAAACTACGGATTTGTCTCGTCGTCGAAGCCGCAGAGTCTGATGCTCTCGCCATCAGGACCTCGTATAACCTGGAGGGATTCATCAGACCCAATGGATTGAGCATCATAATTCCTGTACCTGTAGAATTTTCCCATGATTGCCAAAACGAGCATGTCAACAGCCATGAGCCCAGCAAACATGAAGAACTCCGAGGCCTAGAAAGTGAGAGAGATCATTCAATACCTGACCAATAATCACAACATTTATTTACCTGTCTCTCAAACAATCTAGCTTTAGCCACAACAACCACGATGAGATTACCAAAGGCGATGGTGAGCAACCAGGAAGCCTGGAGGATGGACTTCATCGTTCCTGGTGCTTGTGTAAACGCAAATTCAAGTCCAGTCACACTGAAAAGTACTTCACTTATCGAGATAACGATGTACTGAGGAAGAAGCCAAGCGATGTGGACTGAATTCGGTGGTGTTACCGTCGTCAATGAAATTTTCGTGGAATTATCAGTGACGTGAGTCTGCAGAGTGTACACTCCACCGATTTTAACAACAATCGACTCCACAAATTTTCCATTAACTATCACTCGATAAGTTCCAGGACTAAACTCACCCACTGGTGTCACATCAATCCTGGATCCACCAGTTTCAAAAACGTAATTAACCCCTGACAATTCAACCCTAGTGACCTTGGATTTAATTTCATTGTAATTTAAAACTCGTATTGCAGGATTTCCACTGGTGGTTTTATTGACAAAATCCTCATAAAAAAAAGGAGTAGTTGCCAAAACGTAGGACCTCGCCTGCCCCTCCACAGCCATCAAAAATCCCTCCCCCCTCTTCACCCCTCCACCGCCACACGCCGATAAATCAATATTATAGAATATCGACTGATTTCCCCGAGTGTCAAAATTCCTTTCGAAAATCCCAAAAGGCGCCATCACCAGAGACTCATTACCCACGACAACAGACACCTGACAGTCTCTCGGATTAAATATCCTCACCTGAGCTGCTCCACTCCTAGGCACCAGAGGATACGTCGTCTGAATAAATAAATCCCAAAATCAATTACCCAAAATCAATAATTACTAAAAATCATCGATTTATATTCACCTCCAGCTTGAGCTCCAGAAGACCAGAGATAACAAATGCAACAGCTGCCATGACACCACCAGTAATAATTCTCTTCAATTGCGTATCGAGACAGCGAATTTTTCCGAATAATGGATAAATGCATCTGTCAATTATCGGAATGAGAATGATGACAGAAATAGCTGGTACGATTTGAATTTGATCAGCAGTGACTAGGTAATTGCCTATTGCCCCATCCATCCTTGTCGCTTGAAATGTCCATCTCGATCCTTGCTGATCGACAAGCGCAAAGAACAATGGCAGAGGAATGAAGAGTTTCAAAACACTGAGAACTTCTTTAATATCGAAAATTAATTTCGCATCGTACTTATCGTCAGCGTAGTCCAACCAGTGATCACGCCTGATCCCACCACTAATTCCCTTATTCCAAATAGCACACTGCAAATAAATAATTAATTAATAATTAATTAAATGTATAATTATGAGTTTACCCACCGATATGCACCTGACGACGTTGAGGGCGACGTTTCCCTCTGGCTGCTCCATCCTGTACAAGGGCTTCCCAGCGAAGAATATCACTGGAAATTAATTGATTTATTGATTAGCACCTGGGGGACTCCTCCTGTGGATGATTCACCTGTTGCTGTCACCATTAGAACCGCTGGAACCAGAAAAGCTAGAGGATAGCAGTCTTGATCTCCAAAACATTGAACTCCTGTTCGCAGTTGAGGTGTCATGAACGCTGAGATCGTTGATCCAGCGCTGATCGAGAGGCAGAAGATTGAGAAAAATGTGGTGATGTGTCTCTGCTGTTGGGGAAGGAGAAATTGTTCACCACCGAATGCTGAGACACACGGCTTTATTCCACCTGTGCCGATCGCTATCAGCAGCAGTCCCATCATCGAGAATTCCCTAGAAGATTTTTTAAAATATTCCAGAGGCTCCAGTCAGCGAAGAATTTCAGGAGAAATTGTCTGAGTCATTTAATTTATGGAATAATCACCTCATCGGCAGTCCAATCACTGAAATAGCACTCACTGACAGGAGAATCTGCCCGAGGGAATAAATAATACAAAAATAGAAGATTGTCCTGAATTTTCCGAGGATTGAATCCGCAATAATCGCTCCGAGGATGGGAAAAGTGAAGACCAGCATGGAGAAGGCATGGAAAATAATTGTCGACGCGTCGTCGTCGAAGTTCAATTTGTTTTTTATGTACAACGCTAAAATAACTGCAACAAATTCGAAAAAAATAATAATAAAATCCTGAAAATTGGGAGAAAAAATCGTACGCCAATGGAATATTAATTAAACAACTCATTCATCAATTATCATCACAAGAAGTAACAGGTGTTTACTCCAATCTCTTTGTGATTGTGAAATTGATTTTTTTTTCTGATTACACACGATATGACGTCAATAATTTAAAACTACTCACTCCGCATTCCATAAAAGGAGAATCTCTCGCAGAACTCAGTGCCGATGATTACAAAAATTGCCTTTGGATACGGAACAGTCTAAATATGAATGAAATAATAATCAGTCGATGAACAAACGATTAAACTCCACGTGTGAAAAATTCAGCAATAATTCAAATAAACAAAGATTAATAATAGAATAATCACCGTTTGAGTAATAATGAGAATTACCTTTTCCTTATCCTTCTCTTTCGCTTCCAAAACCATTTTATTTTCCTGTTTATAATGAAATTTGAATAATCGTCGTAATCACAACGCGAGGGAAAATCCCAGGTCTCTGATGCTGGAGTTGAGAGCAGTCACGATTTTATCTCTGGGTACAGCTGCCACATGGTGATAACTCCTTGTCTCATTTTTAATCCATCCAATGACGGATGTAATGTATTATCAACAAAATTTACATTTCCCCACCATAAATATCAAACACGACAATTTGTTGGACGAGTAAAATGAATTAATGAAAAAATTCTAATTATAATCGACAGAAAAAACTATAATCCCCAACGAAAACAATGAGATCCCATTGACAAATTGTGATAATCTATGAGAATTACTCATAATTTATTATAAAATAATACACAAGTATTTGAAAATAGAATGGATGCTGCAGGTGAGATGATCAGAGCTGTGGTCCAGAGTTGAGGAAGAATCGATACTGCTAGTATCTAGCTCTCGAAGGCCCTCGATCGTCGATGATGATGGAGATGGAGAGGGGGATTGGGTTTACCCCACGATTTTATCCTGACAGAAGATATTCCAGATATCCTCGAGCATTGAACATGAGTAAAAAAGACGAATAGTAATTATCAAGCTTTCTCCTGAAGGGGCTTCCCCTGTTTGTAGCTTCTCTCGATATCGAGTTGCTTGAGTCTGGCATAAGCAGCTGACGCACCAAGAACGATGAAATTACTAGCCCACCAGAGTATCTGCTTGGACTCATCGAACCAATAGCTCGCGAGAACAGTCTGAGCGCATGCCTTGGCTGTTCCACTGATGTTATGAGTCAGTGGTGATGTCACCTGGATCTGCAGAGCTGTTGCATAGCCAACGGCGAAGCCACAAACACCTCCAACAGTCATCGCCAACCAGAATATGGAGTTCTGATTGTCGTAGGCATAGAGGATGCTGTACTCATCATTGAAGAGCATCAGGGGGAGGAATAAAAATATACTATAAGCATTGTTGTAGTACGAGAGCAGCCAGATCTCCTGGTTCACCAGGGGAAGCACACGTTTTGTGTATGTCGCGTACAGGGAGCAACTCAGCGATCCCAGGACACCGTAGATCGTCCCTGATATCGAGAGGGATCCTGCTGTGTGCTCTTGATCAACTCCCAGCCAAAATCCTCCCACTATTATTGCACAGCACGTGATACACTCTAATGATGTCTTCTGACCTGAAATTTAGTCTCAAAATCACAAGATTTTCGCTCCATCGTCGGCGTCAAGCCCAATTAATCAATTGGAGATTCATTATTCGAATTATATTTTACTGTAATGACTCACCGAGAATCAGGTACGTTAAGAGGACGTTGAATACTGTTGTTAATGATCTTCCAATGTAATAAAAAGCTACACCCACGTGTTGAAGGCATAAATTATTACTGGCAATCATAAATGTGAATATTATAGATAAAGGAAGAACCTGAAATGAAATTTGATGATTATTTGATTTTTATTATTGATTAATTGATGGTAAAATCCTGGGAATAATGTAGATAATTTTATTTTAATGTTTTAATTAATTGAATACCTTTTTTATGTTCTCTTTGGTGTAGGGATTTCCTCTGGGGAATGAAATTGCTGTTGGGAATATCATCGCCAGTTTGCTGAGGGTAAAACATATCAATGTGCTGATCACACACTGGAACCAGGTAACGAACAATGGCGCATCCAAATTTATCCATTTACTCGAGAGCAATGCTTTGTTAACAAATACTGTTAATATCGAAATTGTCCTGAAAAAAATGAGATAATTGTCGATAATCCTTGAATTAAAAATACAATTCCTCATAATTAAATTTGATTTTTCCTTTTGGAAAATCTCACGGTCTTGTTAATGATTGGTGATGATTTTTTATACCAGTAGAAGCTGACGGCGAGGGCTATCTTGATGTATTTCGGTAGGAGTCTGTCCTCGAAGGACATCTTCGGGGATAAATCATTCCCTCGTTCTTCATCAGTCCTCAGACTGAAGCCCTCTTTCTTCATTCCTTTTTAATTTAGGTTATGTCGAGGTCGAACAGCTGTTCCTCTAGTTCTCTCTCGACATTTCTCAGAAATTTTCATTTCTCTCTGTCAATTGTAATCTTATCAATATGTGTTTTAAAAATAGTCTTTCTTATTCCTAGGCCTTGAGGACCTTGAGATTATTGTTGGAATTTCTATTGGAAGAACTGGCCTCCCACCCCTCATTTATTAAACAATTAATAATTAGTAATCAATTATTGGAGACAATTGAATTGCAAATTTTTTATAAATATTCATTAATCTCGGAAACTGTTGGTTTAAAAAAAAAATGGGAAGGGACATTTTTTGTCGGATATCAAATGATCTACAAAAAAGCTCCCCATCGTTTTTTTCTCAGGTCGACGGCTTTCGAGATCAATCCAAAAAATCGATAGTTACTAAAAATTCAGTTTCACTTTTATTATTATAATTAATTGAAAATAATAACAATAATTGAGAAAAATGAAAAAATTAAATTTTGAAATATCCTGTTCAAAATTTCGCGGCTCGAGGAGGGGAGCGCGCTGTCATGCGCAGAATGACGTAAAACGTGAGAGTAGAAATTCTGTCGATTTTCCTCTGAAATTCTACAAATCATTCGTAAAATCAGGGAAAACAACAATTTCGCGGGCTGTTTTTGACAGCGAATGGATCACACGATAATTCTCATCGATTTCTGATCATAACGGGTATGTATTAACGATCTAATTATGTGATTATATGTAATACATAGACATAACCTATAAACAAACTCCAAAAAAATAATTTCTGCAGAATAAATTCTCAAGACAATTCTATTATTTCAGATCAGTAAAAAATCATCAATTTAATTCTCCAATCAGTTTTAATCCCTCATTTTTTAACAACAAACAATAAATGTTGACAATTAAAAACTGAGGAAAATCCAGTCAAAAAATTCTTGACCTTTCAACTGCCACTAAATGATCGAATTACATAAATATAATTGTATAAATTAAATAAACTGGTAATAATTAATGAATTAATTTTTAAGTGACATTAATATGATTATTTATTGATTAAATTGATTTTGAATAAATAGTACTGGATATTTTTAAATATTTTTAGGTGACGAATTAATAATTTGAGCAAAACGTCTTGGAGATGGCGAATCTGATGCGTCTGGGTGCAGCGAAATTCCTGAGAGGATTGACAAGAGCATCATCTCCAAAGGAGTTAGTGAAAAGATCCATAAACACATCATCGAAGCCACCGCAGGCGAGTCACACCCCAGCTGCAACCTGCGATGAGCCACTGCCACAGCAATCGAACAATTGGATAAGCTGGGGCTTCAGCGAGGACGACGAAACCCTAGACAGATTCGGTGCTCACCTGACATTCTTCACATCAGTGTCACTCTGCCTGATCCTCGGTGGAACAATTCTCGCCTACACCCCGGACCCAAAGCTCCGTGAATGGGCCCAACGCGAGGGATATCTCCAACTCCGTTACAGAGAGGAGAACGGATTGCCCCTGATATCTCGAAATTACATCGATCCATCTAAAATCTACATCCCCAGTGACGAGGAACTCGGCGATACTGAAATCATCATCTAAAGGGAATCCCAATTGTTATTAGTTTATTTATAAAATGGTAACATTTTGTGATCGTCGACTGGATGACGTGTAATAAATTCTAGAAATAATTATTCTCTGACTGATTTTTTTTTGGCAATTACTCAGAGAATAATTCAACAACAAATTCGGGGATTAGTTTATCGAGGATAATTGTTATTATTAAAGAGAGGATTTATGAATAATGCCATTGTTTATTGGAGACAATGATCATGTAATAAATTCTTTCTGTCGCGTACATTTAATTTTTCTTTATCCCCACATTATCTCAGGTCTGTTTATATTTACATACTGCTAGTGGGAAAATACGCATTGACAAATTATTGAAATAAATGGATATAATTGTCCCGGGTGATTTCACACCGACGCTGACGGTGATAAATTACTGCTAGGGGTCAGGGGTTTCTGGTCGATGAGAGAGGGGTAAAACGGCGGTGATTGGGGTAAACTCGCGCTGACAGTCAGTGGTGGCATCCCAGGGAGATTTAGAGGGGTTGTTACGACCTGGGGTGTGACCAGGGGTGAAATCATTGGGGGAATAGTCTGTCCTGGTGCCACTGGAGGCATTCCGGGGATGAAAGGCTCCTGGGGATCCGTCATCTGTTCAACACCTGAAAAAATAATCGATATCAATAAAAATTACACCTAAAAAAATTCCCAATTCATCGAAACGAATAATTATTATCAATTCTTGAAGAATTCCTGAAGAATTCATCGATTTCTTTTTAATCTGACGATTTATTTTTATATTTATCTTGAGTTTTACTTGGGTAACTGTTGGACTGCGCGAAGTAGTGACCCGGAGACGCCATTACTGTAGTCGTCGATGCACCGATTAATTTGGGATCTACATCAACGCCTGGAGCTGGAGCTGGAGCCGGGGCTGGAGCTGGAGCTGGAGCTGGAGGTGGTGGTGCAGATGGATACGAGGAAATGGGATTCGTTGGAGGTGTCTGGGAGTCAAGGGGCAGTCCAGGGGTGTAATTCGGAGGGATGGCGAATCCTGGAGGGACAGCAGTGACAACTGGAGGCGACGGAGAAGCTGTTGGAGTCATTGGGACTGTATACTGTGCAGGAGGTGGTTGAGCAGCCACTGGAATCTTCGGCTGGAACAAATAAGTTGTGGAATTTTTAGAAATTTGGAATTTGTGGAATTTCCGGAATTTTTGGAATTTTTGAAATTTTTGGAATTTTTGGAATCATCTCCTAGAGCAGTCTGAAGATGATTACCTGGAGATGTGAGTGATTGTGAATTGGTTTAGCCTCTGGAACACTTCTCACTGGTATTCTGTGGAGATATCCATACCCAATGCCACACCCTAGGCTACCCTCACCACCCCACCTCGTGTTCGGTGTGATGGTGACCTCCCGGCAGGAGTCGTCGGTCGTGTTGTAGACGTACAGCTTGAGGGGTCTCGACTCATGGGCCTCGATCAGGGTGAAGAGATCCTCGCTCTCGTGGAGGGCGGAGTCTGCGCCGATTATGTAATCGGTGAATGGTTTTAGACCTGCTAGCTCAGCTGGGGAGGATGGATGCACCTCCAGGACGTGCCACACGTTCTCGTTTGCACCCTCGAATGAACAGAAACGTATGCTGACACCGAGGAGTCCGTGTCCACCCCAGGTCATACTTGGAATTATTGTCGTTTGTCGGATCGATTGAGTTTTACTGTTGTACACTGTCACCAGGAGTTCCTTGTCGACGTTCGTCTTCAGGAGCTCCTTCAGCGTGTCGTTGTCCTGGTCCTGGAGAATTATCGACATTCAGGAGTCTTTAGGACTGATTATTCATTTTTATTATCGATTTATCTCGAAAAATAGTCAGATTAAAGGTAAAAAATTGTTACTGAATCGTTAAATTTAGATTAATGATTAGTAATTAGTGATTACGGCTGGATTTATGAATTATTTAATTGAAATTGGTATTTCAATTTTCAGGAGTAATTGTTCTTGCCAAACAGATGGCAGAAATGGAATCGTCTGGATCTGTCACATCGCCTGGCTCCAGAATAATTAATGAAATAACTGGAACTCGACAGTTCTAACAATAAATAACAATAATTGTAACTGGATAATTACTAGTCTGGTGTTGCCTATGGAGACGATGAAGTCAAAGAATGCCTCGAGACCTGCCTGCTGCCCTGGTGATCCCTCCTGGACCTGCCCATCACAAATTAATAACCAACTGATTAAAAAATACCAGACGAATGACTCCAGAGACTTGAATAAATAAAATACCCTGAGGACGTGGTAGCCCTCGGTGCCTCCACCAGGTATCTCCAGACTCTGTGACGAACCCATCACTTCAGGAAATAAATAACAATTAACCTCACAGCACCTGCAATCGAATTTATCGATTGATATTCATTAATTGGAACGGTATTGTTATGTTGTCAATGAATTACGTGGCAATTCTTCAGAATCTGTTGACTTCAGGAGTTTTGTATGAACAATTGTATGTGTGTGGAAAATGGACTCTATTTATCGAGAGTTATGACAAGTCGTTGTATTAATGTGTGGCACATGCACCAGAAAATCAGGAACGATGACGTGCTGGAACGGAACGGATGGAACTGGAACGGATATTGAGGAAATTCGAAGACTTCCGTTATTTGAATTTCATAGGAGGACTATCTGAGAAATTCCAGTTTTCCAGTGGATTTGCGAATGTTTTAATGAGTCCCCGCTTTGGACCGCCCTCCCGGGGCTGCCATCCCCCGCCTGGAAAAGGTTTCTCCATCATACCCTCCCACTGGAGGGTGCAATACGCATTTTCATGTTGTCCAGCTTTCCAAACGGAAAACAGCGATTATTTCAGCACCTATGGGTCCTGGAGGAAAATCCTTGACATTTTGGGC